GAGGGTGAGAGGGAAGGAGGCGGGAGGGGACTGTTCCATATCCCAGTGATGGGTCTAAAGGCATGTATCACTAAGCCCGGAGAAATCAATGGTTCCAATCCATGACAAAATAAAAGCAGATGCAAAAGGAGAAAAGGAATGGAAGCCCAAGATACTTTTTCCCCGAAAGGGAAAATATGACTGACTTGTCCAAGAGACTTAGGGCAAGGATGATATACGTGCGTCTCCATTTTCTACCAATTGTTCTAGAAATATAAGTGTGGTGAGGCTAAAGAAGTAGACTTCTATACTTCTGTTTGGGATACTTTTTAAATTGAAAATGTGAGCATACCAGTCATTCCTTTCACACAAATTTCTAGTAATTTGTTACATTCATCTTCTTCTTTTTTTCCCTAAAGTAACATCTGTATTTGTAAGTGTGTGGCCATGTGTATGTGTGTAATCTGTTTCACGAATGCTGCTACAATAGTGAACTTGAGCAAAGATGTTTGCGTGGCAACAAAGTATGCCTTGATCATGTAAACCTAAGGGCCCAAACTCGCCTCAAACACGTGACAACCTTCCTGCCTCTGTGTAACCAAGAACTGACATCACGGGAGGGGAAGTGAGCCACTGCAGCCTTGACTAATGCCCTTTAACCAGCAGTTGTTGGGCACAGGAGTCAATAGCGAGTGACACTTAGGAGGTGTGGCTTTGTTGAGGTGGATTTGGCCTTATTAGTGGAAGTGTGTCACCATGGGGGCAGGCTTTGAGGATTGTTATGGTCAAGAGACTGCCCAGTGAGTCAGTTGACTTCCTGCTGCCTGCAAAATGTAGTTCCATTAGCTACTTCTCCAGCACATGTCTGCCTGCACACTGCCATGCTCCCACCATGATGACTGAACCTCTGAAACTGTAAGTGAGCCCCCTCAATTACATATTTTCCTTATAAGAGTTTCCATGGTCATGGTGTCTCTTTACAACAGTAGAAGAAACCCTAATTAGGATACATATTGGCACCAGGGCCTGGGGTATTGTTGTGTTGGGTCTGACCCTGTTTTTGTTTGGAGAAACCTGGACTTTTTTCTTTGCGTTAGGAAGGCAGTGGAATGCTTTAAGTGCTGCTTAATGAGCCAGACTAGTAGGAGCATGGAAGACAGTGATGCTGAGAGTGATTTGAACTCTGAGGGGCTCGCTCAGGAGGCTTCAGAGGAATAGAATTTTAGTATGTTGATTAGAGATTGTTCTTGCGATATTTTGGTGAAGAAAGTGGTTGACTTTTGCCTTTGTCCAAGGAGTCTGTCTGAGGCTTAAAGTTAAGAGCTTTGGATTAATTCTGTTGGCAGAAGAAACTTCCAAACAGCCTAGTATAGACTCTGTCGTGTGGTATTTAGTGGTAACTCTAATGAAGATTTATAATAAAAAGGAGCAAGCTGAGCAGGGTAAATTACAGAACGAAAATTTTGAGGAGAAAAGAGCACCAGACATGGAAGGGAGCTAAATCCTGTGCTCAGTGAGGTAACTGGATTAAAAAAATGGAATAAAGGGAGCCACGACCTCAGGGCAAAATCCCATGCAACTAATTTTCCAACTTGTGAAAAGGGACTAAAGAAAAACTTAGAGCCCAGGTGTGTTGGAGCATACCTTTAATTCCAACACCAGGAAGGCAGAGGTTGGTGGATCTCAGAATTTGAGGCCACCCTGGTCTATAGAGAAAGTTTCAGGACAGACAAGCTGAGGCAATGAAGGAAAGAAATTTAGGGAAGATGAAGAATGAGGGGGCCATGTTACAGGTCTAGTCACGTGGTTCTGGACTTAGAGTTAAAGACAGAAGCAAGGAGTTAGGGAATAAAGTCACCAGGGCCAGGGATGTGTCGGGGTGTCCCTAGTAGAGAGGCCATGAGTGAAGCTGTGAAGGTGAAGCCTGGAGACCCCAAAATGTTAAAGATGTCAGAGTCATGGGATACCTGCCAAGGAGAGCGTCTAACAGGAAGGGGAACCAGCCCAAGAGAAAGAAGTGTGCTGCACTCAACAAAGCTGAATTCAATTAGAGATCTGAAGAGCGTTTTAGATGCACCAGATATAGAGGTGCAGTTCGGAGTTTGCCCAGGTGTTTTTTGGTCTTGCTTTGGTCCAGTATTTCCTATGTTCCCTTCCCTATGTTTTGGAACTGTAATGTATATATTATGCCATTATTTGTTGGTAGTATGTGATCTGTTTTTTGATTTTGGTTTTATAGGGGACTACAGAGACTATATGACTCAGAAGAGACTTTGAACTTTGAACTTTTAAACAGTGCTGAGACTGTGATAGACTATAGGACTTTTGAAGTTTGAATGAATGCATTTTGTATTATGGTATTGTTGGAAAATTATAGAGGCCAGAGAGGTATTCTTGCTAATTTTCCCTACCAGTGAAATAATACATACATAAAAGTATATGCAATGCTCTGGTTCTGATGATGTGGAAAATCCTTTACTGGCAATGTTTCCCTCCCTTTTCTACTTTGCATAAAGCTTACATCATGAGGGAGTCCACTTGGATATAACGGATTTTGTGTGTACTAAGCAAATATTGCCAAGAAGCAAAGAAACTACTCAACCCTTGACCAAAATTTACAAGTCAAATGTAAGACACTTTTGAATTGTCTCTCCCTTCAGTCTGCAATTGTCATTATCGCCATTTCTTCCTCAGCTTCTTGGGCTCAAGACATGAAGAATAGTGTTACAAGGGGCACAAAGAGCTCACACTGGAGAATGTGAGCTTTGTGTCCCAGACGCACTTTAACTAAGGAAGACAACCCAAGAAAGGAACAGCTAGATTTCTTTAAAAACAATTTTGCTATAAAACAGCAAGTGGTGCTTGGTGACTTAAATAACCCAGGTTACTGCTGTGCACATCTGCAGAGGCTGGACTGACACTTCCTGCCACGGATGACACCGTTCCTGCCACAGGCTTGATGAAATGAACTTCACTAGAAGCCTAGAATGGATGGTCTTCCTGAGGAAGCAATGAAAACACTCAGAGACATATTATTTCAGGGTCACCATCTCGCAGTCCGAGATGACACTTGATGGGACCTGGAAGCCCCAAGACAGATCTCTGCATTCTAGATGCACATGTAAACATTTAAAACATGCATGTTGTTTTCAGATTTAGGATTCATTCAAGGTAATCATAGCAAGCATGTAGATTCCATTTTTTCCAGGGCAAGTTTTATTCAGATCACAAGTTTTCTCTGATAAACTTTATGTGTGAAGGGTGAAAAAATTGTACAAAGTTCTCAGTAATGATTGTATAAATGCTTATGTGATACTTTCTGCAGTAATTCTAATTTTCTATATTTCATCAAGGCAAAAGCCATACCATCTTATAGAGAATAACCCTATGTGTGTTTTGAGCACAGGCAACTTTGTTCTGTTAATAACTGCACCTTTATTTCTCACACATGTGAATGAGACTTTAGCTGTTACAAAGCTGGGGCATTGTCATTTGGTTTTTACATCAGAGAAGTACTTTCCTTTAGCCTGAGCATCTTCCAGTCCATCATCCTGCAGATGCTCCATGACGGACTGGCTGTTGACTACACATCGTGACAGGGCAGATACCTGCCTCACATTCATGCTACTCAAATGAAAGCCTCTAATTTAATCTGATTGTAGTATGAAGAGCCAGCTTGTTGGGGTTTCCGTCCTGCCTGGTACCCCACGGCCGGCAAGTCCCAGAGAAAATCAATCACACAGAAAATAATCACACAGATAACACAAGATAACTTGATCTCTATAAGTTATCAAGCTGATTGACCCATTAGGTCAGACTACTTATTAGCTCTTATAACTTATGTTACCCCATTATCCTTATCTACGTTAGCCACACGGCTCAGTACCTTTCTCAGTGTGACAGCTCACATGTTGCCTCTTTGATGGTCTGGGCAGGAATGGAGGAATGCGCTTCCTCCTTCCTAGCCTTCTTCTGTTCTCATCGCCCCGCCTCTACTTCCTGTCTGGTTGACCCACCTATACTTCCTCCCTGGCCAATCAGCGTTTTATTAAAATACATGACTGACAGAATACAGATAATTCTCCCACACCAGCTGATGATGAAATTGAACTTTATAAAATAAATAATGGGAAGACTTTATCTTGGTTAATTCCATTTCTGGAGTAAATAACAATTCAGAATTTTGTTCTGATCGTAGAATTTGGGACTTAGGTTTTGTTTGTTTTGTAATAACATGACATATTTATTTATAAAAGTTAATTTCTTATCTTTAAATTGTATTTTTAAAGTTCATCAAAAGACTATTCATGTCAATTCTGCAGTTTAGAATATTTTCCACGATATAGATAACCCTCTCTTACTAAATCCCCCTGGTCCATGTTTAGTGTCACCTTTCCTCCATTGCACAGTCTGATGCTTTGAGCTGAGGACCAGGCTGCCCCTCTGTGCTCTCTCTGTCTCCCTGGTACACAGCAGCTAGGGGGTACAGAATGGCCTACTGATCATTTGAAGGGTAAGCAGAAGACCATGTTATCACATACAGCGCTGGCTTTTCTTCTCCTTAAGAAGGCTTTTGTGTTTTCAGTGAGAATGTTAAGGGAAAAAATAATGTGGAATGCCAAATTCTAGAATTTTCTTTTACCTTTTCAATGAAAACAAAATCCTAATGCAGACCTAAAAATGTTAAATGACAAAGTCCATACACAACAGAGATTACATACTTAGTTCTTAAATACTTCAAAGAATTAAATAAACAGTTTAAAGTACTAATACTTTAAACATAAAATACTAGCTTCATGAAAAATATTAAAATATGGCAAAGAAATACACTAAAAATTATTTTGTAGAAAACAGGAAATTAACTATTAAAATCACAACCATGTTTTGTGGATTATTTTCCCCCTGCTTCTGAGAAAGCGTCCCACATTATAGCTGAGGCAAACCTCAAGCTCACACTGAGCCCCCGTCTTTGTCACCTAAGTGCCGGGAGTGCAGCCTAACAGTCCCCTGGAAGTTAAAGGTTTTTCATGTCTTTGTTTTGTTTTTTGTTTTTTTGAGACAGGGTTTCTCTGTGTAACAATCCTAGCTGTCCTGGAACTAGCTCTTGTAGACCAGGCTGGCCCCGCACGCAGAGCCTGCCTATGTCTTTTAACTAATAGCATTTTGTGTTCCAAACCAACAGGATCTCATGACAAAATTTTCAAAACTCACAAATAAATGCTAAGATAAAACAAACTAAATCAGTGTAGGTTTCAAGCCACAGTGCTTTGAAACCTTCTTGGTTTTCAAACCTTTTGGCGACCTCTGAAGATGTTTGGTTGTGTACTCTGTCTTCTCACGCTTGCAGTGACATCGCCAGGATGTCTTGGTACCTAGCGAGCCTGATGCCTGGTCATTCGCTCCTTAAAGCCACTCAGTGGACCAGCTTGAATTATACAAATTGTCTTAATGTATCAAATTTACAAGGCAACAGTTTGGAATCTTCCCTGGGGTGCACTCTCCCGACTCTGTGCACCCCACCCCCTCAGCCAATCCTGGCACCTACCCTGTCTCTCCGCAGCCTCGGCCCTGGTCAGGTAGTGGTAGAGTTTGTCCAGCTTGTCTGGTTGCTTCTCCAGCGGCCTCTGCACCCAGAAGAGGGACCGCACCTTGGCAGCGTGCCGCAGCGCGTCCCACTGCTCCATCAGGGCGAAGAGCTCGGTGAAGGACTTGTGGTAGCCGTCGCGCAGCATGTCCACGCAGATGCTCTTCATGTATGAGTTCCTGTGGCTGTGAACACGAGCGGAACACAGGCCGCTTTAGAGCTCTGAAAGCTGGCACTCAAAGCAGGCTTTCTTACATGTCAAGACATCTTTGGGGCAAATCAAGCAACTTTAGCTTAATGACGGATGCCTGGTGCTTACTTAGCATAGTTATGCTATGTTTCAAAAGGACAAATAAGTCACTCGACTATTCAAAAGTTCTCCATACAGCACCCAGACCCACACCAACTTAGTCAATCATGCTTCTTAATTGAATGTTTTAAAAATCACACTAAATATCGACATAATCTTTTACAGGTAAGACCAAATTAATGGCTTGATAATGCAATTTATAATAAGTAGATAAGTAAATAGAAATTCACTTCCTAGCTCTGCACTGGAAATCTGAGGAAGGAGGATTATTCATTTAAGTTCAGCCGGGGCAACACAGTATGAGCCTGTCTCAAAAGACAAAAGCCAATTAAAACCTCCCCAAACGTACTTCATGATTCATCTGCAGGGATAAAGAGGCGGATGATTTTCTCATGTGTTTATTCAGCAAATACCCATCAGTTTCGTATGAGAAACTATTTCCTTCTCTTCCATTGTCTTGTGTGGGTGTGATGTGCATGTGTGTATGTGTGCGTGCTGTTCGCATGTGTAGGCACAAATTCACTTGTGTGCCTGAGGTTGATGTCGGGAGTTATCCGTGATTCTTTGGAGCCTTATTCTTTGAGGCAGTCTCTAAGTTGAGCCCAGGCCTCACAGATGTGGCCTGTTTGCTCTGGAGACTCTGAGCCAGAATGAAAAGCTGGCTGATACACTCGCCTGGCATGCATGTGGTTCCGGTGACCTGAGCTTCAGTCTCCACAATTTAACACTGAGCCCAAGAACTGAACCATCTCCACAGCCCCTGCTCTTCCCGCAGCTGTTCTAGGCTAAATAGATTCAGTGCCCTTGTGACATCTGTGTATCTTCTCAGGGGAAGACAAAGACAACAGCTAAGTAGATACACAGCAAACAATGATTGAAATGTTTATTTAAGAAATCCATGTGTGCCAGGCAGTGGTGGCACAGGCCTTTAATCCCAGCTGTCAGGAGGCAGAGGCAGGTGGATCTCTCTGAGTTAGAGGCCAGCCTGATCTACATGAGTTCCAGACCAGATAGAACTGTGTAGAGAGACCCTGACTCAAAGCAAAAGAAAGAAAAGGAAAGGAAAAAGATACGCAGGTGCTTGTGGAGAACAGCTGCGTGGTGGTCATTGTTAAAGCAAAGGAGAGTTATGTTCTGAACGATAGAGTTTGATGTTAATTACTTTATGTTCTTTCTTTAAAGGGAGATGTTTTTAGACATGTTAGAACAATTGACCTACTGCAATACAGATCTGAGTGACAGAGGCATCTGTCTGATCTCTCAGAATCAGAAGTCCTTAGATGTATCCCTGCATGATGTGACTTCTTCGTGTTCCATTCCCTTCCCTGTGTAAAAGTCAGTAGTAACCATATTGCAGGACTCCTCTAGGACCTGTGGGATGAAGTATGTGCAAACATGTGGGAAACACAAACCCAGAATGCTTGGTTCTCGCCTCTTAGCTATGCCTTGGATTCACCTGTGGAGATTCAAAAACAAAACAGCGCAAACGTGCAGGCTCCACCCACCAAGAGCGCAGCACGGAGGAGCCTGGCTCCGGGTCGTGCTAACAGGGGTAACTGCAGAGCCTGGCTCCGGGCTCCAGGCGGTGCTAACAGGGGTAACTGCAGAGCGTTGTCACGATTGCTGTGCTGGCCGTGGAATGCGGAGTACCACCGAGCTCCACCCCATACACACGACTGCGTTTGAGAAGTGTCTAGGGGTCCCAGATGAGCTTGAACTGTGGTCCCTTTCATCTGACAACCGGATTACTGTAGAGCTTGCTGATACAGAGAATGGAGAAACCATCTTTCTAAGTCAAAAGATCAAGCGTCATCATGTGAAAGGCGATTAAGATACTCAGCATGCGGCAGAGAGAGCAGCACGGCTTTCTTTTTCCTGTCCTGTCCTCTGACCCAGTGAGAAGGCTACAGGATAGAAGGGTTAACAGTGAGGCTGTGAACAGGCCCGGTCCTCCTTCCCTCCCCTCTCTCCCTCAAACAGTAGATTGGAAATGGAATTCAACTTCCTGCAACATCCAGCAGACCAAGGTGGGAGCAACCATACCCATCTCTCTCATGGGATGCTTGAAGGTACAAAGCTGACCATGGTCTCCTTGTGCCCCTCCACCCCCCAGGATAGTGCATGGGGAAATGACCAACCATCAGGACATTGGCCATCATCAGAAAGCAGCTGGCCCTTTAATTTCTCAAGGATCTAGACTAATATGGGAGGAGTGCCACATCATTCCAGGAGCTCTGTGTACCATCCCTAACTCAGTTCCCAGAAAGAGAGGGCCACCATTCCTGCCACCATGTTTTCAAATGGTGGCTAGGTGTGTATGCAGAAAGACTTTAGGTATACAAACCATACAGGCTGCTCACAGGGACAGCCGTGGTACAGGAAGCACTGGAGAGGCCTGATGGCTCAGGCTAGCTCTTCTGAAGAGTGCGTGGAGCAATACTTGGTCAGGTGCAACAGAGATGGTCATCTCTGCAGGAACCCCAGTTTAGGAATACATTCAGTCAGAGAGTTTACCTCCCAGGGTCTTACAAAATCAAAGCTCCTAATTGCTGCTAACGCCACACAACCGAAGGTCTTGTTGAGAGACCTGGTAGGCTGAAGGTGAAGTCTTTAGGAGTCTCTTGTTTGTCCCCAGCTGAGCACTTGCCACAACCCCAGCCATCCTGTTCGCTGTTACTTTACCGAAGAACAGAAAGGAGAACGGTGTGGCCTGGCTGTGCCTTTCCTTACATGAGGAAAACAAAAGCATTCCTGAGAAGAGTAAATCCCGTTTGTGTCTCATTGGTCAGAACTGTGTCAAATGCTACCCTGCTAAGATGCAGGGAGTCTGCCTCAGCCTGGGCATCCTGCTAGAGCAAGGAAGAGCAGGGGCTGGGTAGTTAAATGCAAGCCCCCCCCCCCATAAAGGCCTGGAAGCATATGCTATCACAGCCTGTCACTCACTTGCCCAGGTTGCCAGATAAGATCCAGTTAAAATTGAATGCCAGGCAAACAGAAAATGATTTTTAAAAAGTATTAGAATGTCCTAGATATTATATCAGATATATTTAGACTAAAAGGTAAGCTTCTGACTTACCTTTTATATAAAACAGAACTTTCATATACTTATGTTTACTGGATCCAGTAATTCTATTCCCTTTTGAACCTCACAGTGCAATGGTTTTTTTTTCCCATTATGGGGGCATAGAATTGGGGGAGGGCGGTGACTTTTGCATTTTGTACAATCTGTGAGATCACTGAACTGGTCTGGCTTCTTCTGAGTGACAAGACTTGATACCAGGGAGGATTAAGTCTCAGGGCCAGAAATTAAAATGAGATTATAAAAAATAAAGACTTTCAATTTAGTAGTCCTAAGAAAGGATGGAGGAGGCTAAGTCTAGAAGCAGAGGGGAGAGGAAGATTGCTGGTCATGAGCAAGGAAGGCTGTGGGGCTGGAACAAGGCGTGGTGGTGAACAGTCAGGAGAAGTTGTTGGCTCCAAAACATACTCAGGTGGTAAAATTTGGGTGGCTTGGTGACTGGACATTATGGGGAAGGAGGAGATAGGGTGATGACCAGGTATTTAGAGGGATGATGGGTCATTTTCTAAAGAGGGAAAGCGAATGGCTGGAGAGACTTTAAACATGATTAACATTAAACATGGAGTTTGGGGAACCTGTAATTGGGGAGCTAGAAGGCAGTACTAGGGAGGCCTCTGAGGAGGCAGAGGCAGGAGACTGGAACTCTTGAAATAAGAGCTGACACCTTTGTGTGTTGGAGGCTGTCACCACGGGAGGGAAGATGACCTCCTGTCAAGAATAAAGAAGAGTGAAATACTGCCTTTAAATACTAGGTGGGGCATTTGAGAAGGCAGTTCATCTAAGGTCAGGTGAGACTCAAATGCTGGTCCATCATATTGGCCACTTTTGTCAGCCTTGATAGATGTAGGCTCATTTGCCCGATGTGACCTGTATGGCAGTGAGCCCCCCTCCACAGCTGGCAGTGAGCCCCCCTCCACAGCTGGCAGTGAGCTCCCTCCATGGCTGGAAGTGAGCTCCCTCCAGGCTGGAAGTGATCTCCCTTCACGGCTGGAAGTGAGCCCCCTCTACAGCTGGCAGTGAGCTCTCTCCACAGCCAACAATGAGCTCTCTCCACAGCTGGTAGTGAGCTCCCTCCATGGCTGGCAGCATTTTAAAATATGTGGGAAATAGCTAGTCACACTGAGGTAAAATCTTTGTGGGTCAAGAATTCAGGGACTTTTTAGCAAAGTGGTGACCCACAGATATTCTCTGAAAAACTCAAGAGTGTAAACAGGATTGGGGCTCAATCAATGTGGCAGTGGCTTCTCAGAAGGACTGCTTACTGTTCTTGCTCCCCAATGTCTGTTTAAGGGTCTTTGAGTTGGCCTTTCCTTTTGGATCAGGTTCTCTTCTATTTTCCACCTAGTTAGTTACTGTAGGACCCAGCCAGGACAAGTTCAATAGAGGCTCCAGTCTCAGTAGTCGTTCCTAAGGCAATACCTGGTTCCAAGAAAGACAACAATTTGAGACTACTCAGGCATCACTAGGAACAGACCATCTAAAGGAAATTCCTAATGTTCCAGCCTTTGTAGACGGGATCACCTGCCAGCACACACCCATCGCTTTTCCCTGGGACACCCTAGACAAACGTCAGCCAGTCAGGGGTCCTGAACCTTAGAAATCCCTCACCCCACCTGTGCTAGTATAAAAAACCCAACCCCAACTGAGCTCAGGGCTCTCCATTACTCAGAGAGTCCAAGTTTGCAAACTATAAGAATAAAGGCTTTTTGGTTTTATAGAAAGGACTTGATCCCTTAGTTGGTTTTGGGGGAACTTCGTGATCTATGCATAACAGTTACCAAAATCCTTCCAATATG